CGCGTAATGCCGTGCCTAGCCATGCTCGTGCCCGTGCCGTGCCTGGCATCCTGTTTGGCCATGTATAGATTGAGGCGAATTCGAACCCACTTTAATTGATCGATGTTGCTGCACCGCCAGTCGTGCTGTTGGCTGAGCTAAAGTAGTACCCCCCCTATTGAGTCCTTGCATTGGTCCCTCTTTTCCTCACTGCTCTCCTAGACTACCTTTCACATTCCTAACTAGGATGTCCCATTTCTCTTGACTACTGCTCCCTTCGTTCCGTTTTACCGGGCGTGACAATGGTATTCACGGATACCAAGACGTCCATCTATCGAGCCTGTTCGCTGGTTGGTTTCTGGGTTGATAAGTTTGACTGATGCTGGTTTGTTGTGAGAGAAAAACACTGTTGACTGGCTAATAAGCTCTGGCTAAAACCAACAAGCGAACAGGCTGATCGCATGCAAATGTACTAGACTAGTCTTATTGGCATTTAATAAGCTGCCCCATAAGTGTTTTGATGATGTGACAAAATTTTTAATAATTGAGACAAGAAGTGAGCGATGAATCTCTCTTGACACGATTACCAACTCTCTACAAGTAATGAAATTAAATGTCTATGAAACCATAGAATGAAACTCTCCATTTAGAGTTGACGTTTCATCAACGTTCCACTTAATTTTAAATGACACGATAGTTTTAAAAACAACACATAAAACTACCCACTGAGACTAACCTTGTAACTCATATAATTATCCATGCCACCAGGTCCATATGACATTCACGGCGGCATACTGCTTGGCGCTAGGCCTCACCGTGCATGTATGTGACGTTTCAACAGTCTTGAGTAATCACCTACCTCCTCGATACTCCAGCGCCGCCTATAATGGAACAGAGGGAGTACTCTTCTACCTTTCACATTCATAAGTACAGTATACCTTGATAGACTAATCTTTAGTACCACCTCTGTCCCCAAAAGAGTATAACTATGGTTTACGTGCTAGTTAAAGTGCTTCACGTTTGACCAGATTTCTAGTAAATAGTATTCACATTTATGACTCTAAATTAACTTATTGTGAAAATATATTTCATAACTAATCTAATGATATGATATTTATTTGATATTATGAATATTTATACTCTTTTATCTATAATTGATCAAACTTGATATGCTAAACCATGACACTGTTCCAAAATTGCGTTCTTTGGGGATGGAGGGAGTAGGTGGTTATAGGTCTCTATCTGATCCTTAAATAGTTAACGTTATAGGTTTGGTCACCCAAATTAAGGAGTGAAAGCGATGAGAGCATAGAAAACTTGAAGGAGAGACAGAGATAGAAGTATATTGAGAAAAGATAAATGTGCATTGGTAAAAGAGAAATGTTTATTGACAAGTTAGAGTGTCAAGTATTTTGCGATAAAAATTGAATGCTATTAGGTTAAATATTTTGAGATAAATAGAGTACACTATGTGAATCGTCTGCCATAACAACGCTTGTCGCCCTACGCATCTCAGCTGCCTCTTGATGCAACCTCGGTAAGTTAAAACCGTCTGAATCCGGATGAGCCTAGAAACCAAATTTAGGCACAAAAACTTGCATTTTACGTCTTGCCACGTCGAAAGACCGGCCGTGAATTTTTCTGTTTTGCCCATGTTGTTCTTATCGTCACCAAGCGTACAGATAACTTACGGATTCATAGTCGTTATTTATGCCCAGTCCCGACAAACGTAACCATTGCTTGAACTGTCAGGCTAGACTGTACTTATGAATGTGAAACAATCAAGTTCGACTGATAACCACCTATCTAATGTACTCCCTCCATCCCAAATTATAACTCATTCCAAGTTTCTTGAAGAGTCAAAACATCTCAAGTTTGACCAAATTTATATAATAAAATAATAATATTTATGATATCAAATAAGTATCGTTAGATTCTTCACTAATTATATTTTCATAGTATAACTATTTCATGTCATAAATCTTTATAATTTTTCTCTATAATTTTTGTCAAACATGAAATACTTTGACTCTATATATAATTTGGAATGGATGGAGTAGTCTAAAAATGTCAAGTAAAAGAACTTTCAAGTTCCACAGATCCACCATTGCTGCCCCATCTTAACTGCAGTTTCTTCACGGGCGGTGTTGTGCCTGCACCAGAGGACAATAATGGAGGCATGCATGGAGCCGACCAAGAAGGGACCCTGCCAGCAGCGGTGTACGGCCGGCCCTGTGGTCCGAGTAGACCTTGACGTCCCTTGCGGCAGTTGAGTCAAGTCGTCGGTGAAGTACATGTGCAGTCACTGGGATGGCACATGTGCTGCCTCTGCATCAATTACATGGACGGGAAGTGGATGCTTATAAGAGAGGATGCTTGTATACAGGGATGAAAACGGATCGGATACGAACGGATATCACTCATATTATATTTATTTTTATATTTCTGTTCGGATTCGGATTCGGACACGGATAGCGTTCGGATACATATACGAATACGGATTGACTCGGTTATGGATACGAATAATGAGTATCGAATACGGTATGAATCGGATTCGGAAAAGATCGGATACAAATATCTATTCGGATATTGAGTAAAAGCAGCATATATATATATATATATATATATATATATATATATATATATATATATATATATATATATATATATATATCATACGTGCGCAAACCATTACACCACTCTATGAGTCCATAATCCATCTAGATTAAGCCGAAAGACTAAAGAGTAAAGCAACAAATAAGATAAAGATACAGATACATCATACATCAAACATAATACAAGCACCAATCATCACGGTATGAGTAGAAATAGCCAAGCTCATGGCTTCATGGGTCTCATGGAGTCATGGTCATGGATTCAAGATCTACAATCCTTATATAGGCCATTTTTTCATTTGAAAAAGTTTGAATAAAATGTAGTTCAAATTTCACAAGTGTGTGACATAGTTTTAGAAAGTCTGTATGAGATTCAAGAATTTGTGACTAGTGTTTGATAAAACTTTCTCAAATGGGAAAATGAGCTATGTAACAATTGTAGATCTTGCTGAGATGATCAAACTTGGTATTCAGAGTTTTTTCATCTGAGGTCATTTAGTGTCTCATTTGAGCAAGTTTGACCAAGTCAAATTTGGTCAAATGAAAAAACAACACTTTGACTCTAGTATTATGAACTCTAAATGACTTCAAATTGAAAAGTTTTGAATACCAAGTTTGTTCAACTCATCAAGATCTACAATTGTTGTTTTGGTCAACTTTCCATTTGAGATAGTTTGGACGGTTCAAATTTGTGATTTTTAAATTTCGACGTTTACAAACTAGTTTTCGGAATCCTAGATTGTCTCAAATTGAAAAGTTTTGAATACCAAATTTGTTCATCTCATCAAGATCTACAATCCTTATATAGGTCATTTTTTCATTTGAGAAAGTTTAAATAAAATATAGTTCAAATTTTACAAGTGTGTGACATAGTTTCAGAAAGTCTATGAGATTCAAGAATTTGTGACTAGTGTAACAATTGTAGATATTGCTAGTGTAACAATTGACTAGTGTGACATAGTTCAAATTTCTCAAATAGGAAAATGAGCTATGTAACAATTGTAGATATTGCTGAGATGATCAAACTTGGTATTCAGAGTTTTTTCATCTGAGGTCATTTAGTGTCTCATTTGAGCAAGTTTGATTAAGTCAAATTTGGTCAAATGAAAAAACAACACTTTGACTCTAGTATTATGAACTCTAAATGACTTCAAATTGAAAAGTTTTGAATACCAAGTTTGTTAAACTCATCAAGATCTACAATTATTGTTTTGGTCAACTTTTTATTTGAGATAGTTTGGATGGTTCAAATTTGTGATTTTTAAATTTTTACACCTATAAACTAGTTTTCCATTTGAGAAAGTTTGGACGGTTTAAATTTTGAAGCACTAAATGATTTCAAACGAAAAAGTTGTAAACAACAAAGTTTCATAACTTTTTGAGATCTACAATTTTTATTTTGATCATTTCTCCATCCAAGGTCGTTTGAATAATATCCGGATAATATCCGTTTTTAAATATCCGGATATATCCGATACCTAACCGGATTATCCGATATCCGCCGGATATCGATGATATTACATCCGTATTTGATATCCGCCTAAGATATCCGTTTTAGAATCCGTATCAAAAAAATTACGGACATCCGAGTAACTATCCAGATAAGTGTTGATATTTGTTCGGTCGAACGGACGGTCGAATAAATATCCGTACCGGTTTCATCCATACTTGTATAGGAACCAGGGAGTGCATGCCCTTTGTGTTTTCAGCCGGCGCGTGCGCTCTTGGTCTCAGGCACACATCGACGCAAGTCCTCTGTCTGGATCGTGGGCTCTAAACCGAGGTGAGTAGATGCAGTTCTCATCATTTGGAAAAAATACTTACCATTTCAGTTGAAACAGAAACGTCTTACTTAGCTTCGAACAAATTTTAGGTTCAAGTCTTTATTATCTCGGCCGCTCTTATCCCTGGCCATAATGCAGCATAACAAGCTGGTCGTGCTCCATGTCTTAGCCGACCATCGATGCAACTCATCTCCAGCTCCTCCCACGGCCACCTTGGTGAGTTGAAGCTTTTTCTTTTGGAGAACACTCCTAACTCCTAAGTATGTTTCTACTTTGAGCTGAAACAGGAACATCTTACTTAGCTGAACAAATTTTATTAATTAGGTTATTGATCGAAAAAAAATTATTAATTGGGTTCAAGTCTTTGTTGTTGAACTATAAACATTTGTCCTTACTCTTTTTTTCGGATCGGTCGAACATTCAATTTCGTTTATTTGTTTCAGTTTGATCTGTTGTTGCACTGAAGAAAAGAAACAAGCGGAGGGGGATAGCAACTGGAACACACAAGAGAACTCTACAAGCACTTGGTGACATGCATCCCCATAACACACTACAACTTTGCAACCTATCAAATTGCCAGCATAATATAGTGATTGGTTAATCATCTTGTGAGCCCCTGAGTATGGACTTGGTCACGGGTGCGTTGGGCTTGCTCCCCTCCAAGCTGCTGGAGCTACTCAAGGACGAGTACAAGCTCCAGAAGGGCGTCAGGGTGAAAGTCCAGTCCCTCTCCCTGGAGCTTGAGAGCATGCACGCCGCACTCCGCAAGGTGGCTGCTGTGCCATGGGACCAACTCGACGAGCAGGTCAAGGTCTGGGCACGAAAGGTCAGGGAGGCGTCCTACGACATGGAAGATATACTCGACACCTTCATCGTTCGTGTCGATGGACATGAGCAGGCTGATCCGAGCAGGCTCAACCGCGCGATGAAGAAGATGGGAGACCTGTTCAGCAAGGGCAAGGCTTGCCGTGAGATTTCTTGTGCCATCGAAGACATCAGGAAGCAACTTCAGGAGGTGACAGACCGGCGTGCCAGGTACAGTGTCGATGATCTTGTTGCCAAGCCTGCTGCCACAACAAGTATTGACCCACGCCTCTCTGCTCTCTACACAAAAATGTCACAGCTTGTTGGGATCGAAGAGCCAAGGGATAAGGTCATAAAAATGCTGACATCAGTAGCGGAAGACATGGAGACGAAGATAGTCTCTATTGTTGGGTTTGGTGAGTTAGGCAAGACTACCCTTGCTAAAGCTGTGTATGAGAATCTTAGTCAGGATGTCCGTTTCAAGGCTTTTGTTCCTGTTGGCCGGAATCCAGACTTGAAAACAGTCTTAAAGGACATTATTATTGATCTGGACAAGCAACGTTACACCACCGAATTAAATTTCACAATATTGAACGAAAGGCAGCGAATCGATGAACTTCGAGAGTTCCTCAAGGATAAGAGGTAGTCATATTCTTATTTAGAGCCTTTTAATTTATTTTACAAGTTGAACAATCATTTCAGAAATCTATAACCTGCAGATTGAATCTATTACAAAATTAAATATTTTAGTTTTCGTTTCTTTTTGTTCTCATCTAATCCCTCGCTACCGGAGACGGCTTCTTTGCCGAGTGTCCTAGACTTTGTCGAATGCTTTTTATCGGGAGCTCGGCAAAGAGGCTATTTATCGAGTGCCAGAGAGAAAGCACTTGACAAACAACTGGCACTCGGCAAAGAGGTGGTTTGCCGAGTGCCGAGCACTCAGCAAACAATAACACTCGGCAAAGACCAGGTTTACCGAGTGTCGGACACTCGGCAAACCAGAACACTCGGCAAAGGGTCGCCGTCGTTAACAGCCGGCAGCCGCCGTTAACCGTTTGCCGAGTGTCTTCTCATGACACTCGGCAAAGCGGTGATTTGCCGAGTGTCATTTTTTGACACTCGACAAACCATATTTTGTTTTTCACTTTTGACCTCCAAACTTTTTCGGCAGTCCTTATACAATACCTGGTACTCCATGTTCTAATGTGGCACATTTCTCGGACTTTTTCTATATTTCTTTAATTTATTTCATTTAATTGAATTTTCTTGAATAATTTAAATTATAACTGCTAGTCATTCGAATAATGAAAAAAATGAATGGAAAAATGATATTCATGTTATTTAGTATAATGTGAGGCCATATCCAGGAACAGACCACCAATTTCGAACATCTTGTTCACAAAACATGACCACGAATTTGCGGTGGAGTTATTTTTAAATTCTATAAAAAGCAAACGAAGTCCGAAAATCATGAAACTTGTCAAGATGTCATGATATCATATGTGGAGGCTGTGATAAAAATTTGAGAAGGTTTCGCGCAAGTTGTCATGTACGATGCTTGCAAACCGAAGAAGAGGCCGACGAGGTGGTAAGCATCGTACGTGACAAATCGGGGGCACTCGGCAAAGGGGGGATTTAACCCCGCCGGCCCAACTGGCCCACACACACCGCACACACGCACGCAGGGTAGCTGACCGCGCTAGCGCCGCCGCCCGCGCCCGCGCCGCGCCACCCGGAGGAGGAGGAGAAAGAGAGGAGGAGGAGGAGAGGAGGAAGAAGGAGGAAGGAGGAAGCGAAGGAGGAGGAGGAAGAAGGAGGAAGGAGGAGGAAGAAGAAGAAGGAGGAGGAGGCGCCCCGGCCGCCGTTGCCACGTCCCGGCGCTTCCCCAACCATCGCCTTGTCCACCGGTGCCCTGGCTCCTTCACCACCGCCGCCCTATGACGCCCACTAGATATGCCCTACCGTCATCGTCGTTGTAGTATTACTTCGTTGTAGTATTACTAGTAGTTGCGGTAGTAATAGTGGTAGAGTAGCAGTGGTGGTAGTCGTAGGAGTCGTAGGAGTGGTTGTGACATTGTTATATATATGTGGTTGGATATAATCTTGTGCATGTCGGCCATCGTGCCGTTCATATATATGTGCATGTTGGCCATCATGCCGTTGGTTTTCTTGCAGGTTTTGGAAACCTCACCGTGCAGGGGAGGTGCTACCGAAATTTTGTATTGATAGTTTTATGTTTATTTTTTGCGGAAGAGCACATTGAGGCAGAGAGCAGTACCTCGGCGACCCGATCGCCTTCCTCGCCCATGCCGGTCTGCACACCGCATCGCGCCCTACCACTGCACCGACCCACCGTGGCCCCGCTAGCCTGACTCCACCGCCACCCTAGGTATAACCCCTCTTTCCATATCATGGTCGTAGATCACGTAACCCAGTTAGGCGTCTCCCGTTCGAAAAAAATACGGTTGGAAATATGCAGATATTTCCATATCTAAAACCGTATCTGTTTCAAATTGTCCATGTTTTTTGGACAGCCCGCGGATGCATAGGTGGGGTTAGTTTCCATGGTCTGCTCCGATCCAAGACAGAGTTTCGGCATCATCTCCCTGTTGTTCTCCGAATACACACTCTCCCTGGCAGGACATGTATTTGGAGAACAGCGGGGTGGTGCTCCTGAAATTCTATCTCGGATAGGAGTAGAGCATGGAAACTAACCTCATCTACGAATCCTCGCGTGGGATTAGGACCTATCCACACCTATTAGATAGTAGGAACATCGGGTAGATGCAATTGATGTTTATATTACTCGCCGCTATATATGTTAGAGGATGGAGGATCGTGAGTGGATGTACACGGGCCGCGCAAGTCAGGGTCAGGTCACCAACGAATGGATCGACAAGACCGATGCTTTCTTAGAATGGGCATTTGGCGTGGTTGCTAAAGGAGCAAGTAAAATTTGTTGTCCCTGCAACAAATGTGTAAAGAGGAAAAGACAAACGAAGAAGGTCACGGAGGAACATCTTTGGAAGAATGGATTTACGACAGACTATACCCGGTGGGTCTACCATGGTGAAGCCAATCGTATGAGAGAGGAGGTGGTGAGACCACGCGTCGAGGATTATGATGCTGATGCCGGGGTAGCAGACATGTTAAATGACTATCACGAGGCATAGTTCGCTGAAGGACGTACGGAAGAGGAGCCAGTGGCAACCGCAAAGGCGTTCTACGATATGTTTGCAGTGGCATAGAAACCCCTTCACGGCTAGACAAAGGTTTCTCAACTGGATGCCATTGGACACACAATGGCGTTAAAGTCCCAGTATAGCCTAAGTCGAGACGCCTTCGATGGTATGTTGACAGTTATTGGCAGCCTGCTTCCGGAGGGTCACCTTCTGCCAAAGAGCATGCACGAGTCACAGAAACTCCTTCGTGCACTTAAGATGCCGTATGAGCAGATATATGCTTGCCCGAAGGGGTGTGTCCTATTTAGGAAAGAATACGTGGAAGCAAAGTACTGTCCAAAGTGTAAATCCTCTAGGTTCCCAGAGGTAGATTCTGGTGATGGCCAGAAGAGGCAGCTTGACATTCCCGTGACAATCCTACGGCACCTTCCGTTCATACCGAGGATCCAACAGCTATACATGACCGAGGAATCCACGAAATAGATGACATGGCACAAAAATGGCAAATGATACAATCCTGACAGGATGGTACATGCATCCGATGGTGAAGCATGGACCCACTTTGATGGCATTCATCATGAGAAAGCTAAAGAGGCTCGTAATGTACGTGTTGCGCTGGCAACAGATGTGTTCAATCCTTATGGAATGATGGCTGCCCCATACACATGTTGGCCCATGTTCGTTATCCCCCTCAATCTCCCCCCCAGCGTATGGTTTCAACGACAGAACGTATTCTTGTCGTTGATAATTCCTGGACACCCGGGGAATAATATGGTTGTGTTCATGGAGCCTGTGATTGATGAATTGGTCCGTGCTTGGGAGGAAGGGGTATGGACATATGACCAAGCTACAAAAAAAACTTCAAAATGCATGTTTGGTACCACTATTCCTTGCATGACTTCCTAGGATCCGCCGTCTGCCCTTCGCGTGAACCGCCGTTGACCCCGTTTCTCCCCGTTGTGAGCTTCGCCGTTCTCCCCTCTCTCTCCCCGTGCAGTTTAATTCTTGTTTCATGGCTTCTAGTGCCCGTTTCGTGTGCGCCCGATTCCTCCCGGCCGCCGGCCATGGCGACCGCCAGCTCGGACGCACCCTCCGGCCGCCGTATCGGCCTTGGCGAGTTCCCCTGCTTCCCCTTCTTCTCCCAGTGCCCTCGGTTCTTCGAACCGTGGCCCGTGGGCCGTGTTCCGCACGCTTCGGCGAGCTCCACGCCGCCGGCCATGGAGCCTTGCCGCCAGTGTTACTGTGCCCGGCCGGACCCCTTCTCTTTCTTCCCCTGAGCCAATCCAAGCCGTCCATCTCCAGATCTGCGGCCATGATTAGAAGATACCCCTTCACGGGTTATTTTTCTAAAGAGACCCTGAGTTTTTCTAAGTCCTAACCTGCAGTCAAAGCACGTTTCCAGAGTACGCTTTCTCATTTTGAAGACGTAAAGTATACGGTTTTAGTCCAAAATACGTTTTCACTATTTACAGAAATGCCACTACACTTTTTATTCATAAAATCGTCGTTTTAGCTCCGAATTGACCTGTTCAAATTGCGTTAGTTTCGTGATTTCATAATCTACGTGTTAGTACCACTGTTAATCATGTTTGCAACTTTTAAATTTCATGGTTAGATTGAATTAAATAAATTGCTATAGGAAACCCCGTTTAATTCATAACTTTAGCGTTTTAGCTCCGTTTTTCGTGAACTTCGTGTTGACGTGATCATAGCGAGACGTAGATTCTTTTCATAAACATTTTATCTTGTTTTCTATACTGTTGGTGTACTTTTCTAATTATAGGAATGTTTGCTTTGCAAGAATGCTTTTGGAATGTTGTATGTTGCCGTGTTGGTCGCGTTCAGACGGTGAGGAGAACGTTGGAGACCAAGAGTTCTTCGATGACCAGCAGGACAAGCAGGAGTTTGCTAACCAAGGCAAGTATAGCAATGGATCTACCTTGATGCCTATTCACCTTTATTAATTACTCATTTGCATGTGTCTAATTTTGATACCCATAAGGACATCCTAGTGATTGATATCCTGTTCCTTGTCTCCTATGGGTTATATGCATATGGGTAGTTTGCTAGTGCTCAACATAACTATACATGAGCTACATATTGAACAACAATTCTATGGAAAGAAAAGGTAAAAGTTGCTTTTAAACAACTGGATTATAGGGCGATGGAGCAAATGACTTTCGATCATGATGCTCTCGGCCCTCCATAAGGACTTATCTGTCGACAAAAGCTGGGACTGACAGTGCAACCGTGAGGGTCATATGGCTCTGACTTTAGCTCAGTAATAGGACTTTTTCTAGCTTGTTAGAGGTTACCTTTATGGCGCAAAAGGGGCTTGCCACGTTGGGTATAGGACTGCCCCTGTTCCTATGTGTATAGCCGCGATAGATATGTGCCATAGGAAAGGGGGGTTCCTACATCTACCTGCCAAGGAAACCTAGCGGCCCTAACTTGTTAGAGAAAC